TAAGCTAATTTGAATTTGAACATTATGGAGCTGAATCCTGGCAGTAAGATGGAGAACACTGAATTGGAAGAGCCTTAAAAATTTAACTTGTTTTGATCTAATTAGAGAATTCATCTGAAGATTAACCTCATGCAAAAAGTGCATTTCAATTAAGGGTGATGAAGATTCCAAGACAGAAGTACAGGTTGAACCTCTAAAATCCGGGACACTCTGGTCTAGCAACATCCGTGGTCCAGCAGGACCATGAATATTGTTGGACCAGAGAACCCCAGCTGTCCAGGTTCAAAAGCACAGCCAGGGCTGGGCTGGTGGTGGGGAGCCCAGCACCAGAGGGGTCAGTGTGGTGGAGAGCACAGCCCTGGCCAAGGCTAGTGGCAAGGAGAGCAGCCCCGTCAGAGATGAAGGTAGGGGGCTAGGCGTGCAGGCCTAGTCAGGGCTTGGGCAGTGGAAAGCGCAGCCTTGGCTGGGTCTGGTGCAGTGCGGGAGCACTGTCCTGGCAAGGACTGGCAGTGAGGAGCTCAGCCCCAGCCAGGGCTGGAGTCAGATGGACATGCAGCCCAGGCCAGTGCTCTGAAGGGGTGGGGGGTGCACAGCCCCTACCAGGACTGGAGGCAGCGGGGCTGGCCTTTGTCTGGGGCTGGCATGGTAGGGGACACAGCCTCGGCCAGGCCTGGCATGTGGAAGCAACGGCAGGGAGCTCAGCCCCAGCTGGGAGCAGAGCCTACAGCCAGGTAGGAAGCCTTGACCTATACTCGTCCAGAAAACTCCATTGTTCTGGAACACTCAGGTCCCAAGGGTGCTGGACAAGGGAGGCCCAACCTGTATTTGAACTTCCTCATTAAGTCTACAGAACTTATTAAAGCTTCTGTGCCGCAGGCAGGCACTGCTCCAGCGCAACTGCTTCTGACTCCGTGCTGAGCTGATGGCTTGGAGTTGGCAGAGTCACGCAGGACAGGAAGCAGGGGAGGAGAGGGGGAGAGAGGAGAAGAGCAGGAGGGAGGGCTGCCAACTCCCAGCCCATGAGGGCTGGAAGCTGGCAGCCTTCCCCCCACTGCTGCTTCCTCCCACGCCCCCTGAGACTGCTGACTCCCAGCCCATGAGCCCGCAAAGGCCACTTGCCCCCCCCCCACCTGCTGCCACTTTCATGCACTCCCACTCCACGTTTCCCACAACGCCTGATTCGGCACTCCGGCCAGCACTTTGAACTGTGCTGCTCTGCAGCCACAATAACAGGTAAACATATGCACCCGGCCCCATTCCTAGGGAGCTCCCTGCCATCCTGTGCTGCTGCCTCTGTATCAGAAGCAGCAGAGTGGGGTGGCAGGCGGGAGCCAATTTAAAAAGCAGTTCCCCTCGCAGAACGGCTGCCTGCTGTCCTGTGGGGTGTGGAGCAGTCTGTCCACAGAGAACTCAGAGCCCCCACAACCAGGAGCTGTCATCGCTGAGTAGCCTGCTGTTTACCCTCTTCCCACGGCGAGCCGAGGTCATTGTGGACAGAAGTTGGTTTACGGCAGCCTCCCTTGTCCCCCTACCTGCACAGAGGCAGCAGCACAGGTGGGGAGCACGTAGGCCATACTGGGGAGTTGGTGCTGGTGGAACTGGCTTTTAAGCTCCCCCCCCGCCCCCCAGCACTGGCTCCTGCCTGCCCTACCTGCTGCCTCTGCTTGAAAGCCGGCTCTCCGCACATATCGGCTCCCACCTGCCCCTCTCACTCTTTTCTCTGCTGCCTCTTTATCAGAGGCAGCAGCGCAGGAGGGAAGGGGTGTAGGCAGATCTGATGCTTGTGGGGAGGCAGCTTTTAAGCAAGCTTCTCGTGGGCACCAGCGCCCACTCTCTGCCTCTTGCTGCCTCTGACAGTGCTTAGTGACTGGAGGTGATGCCGGGTAGCATGGGATGCATACTCACATTGCTCAGCTCTGTCTTTTTGGCGACTTATGAATGTCGACAGTACTTTCGTTGCCAAATCTTTCCAGCGTAGACATAGCCAGAGTAAACCTGCCTAAATGCTAACTGTTGGAACATTCAGATCATCTCTACAGACACAACGAGAAGTACTTCAGAGACAAACAAAGGACCGTAACTGTAGTAATGGTACTGTGTATAGTATAATTCTGTGCAAGGACCAGTGTGACCCCCAAGGGCTCTAGGAGGGGCTCCTCCCCTCTGGATCAGTGGGAACCACTCCGCCTTACTATAACCCTCAGTCTCTCATGGGGAATTGGCTGTGCCACTAGTTCAGGGTTCAGGCCTCTGGTCAGGCTACGCCCACAATCAGTAAGCCCGACCCTCATGCCAGACTGGACACAGTAGTCCAGGTTTTCAGGCTATGACCAAACCAAACCAACAGTTGATTAAACCAAGCCCTTACTTCGAGTCGGGTGATGGGACGGGGCTGGGCTCTCCGCTCACCAGGACTCCAAGAGGGGCTCACTACAACTAGTGAATGTTTTACAATAAGTTTTCCTCATTCATCTTTTGTCACAGTAGGCTGTCATGACCTCTATAGCTAAAGATGTACAGAAGTTTCTTTTACAACCACATTATCACATGCTCCTCTCTTCCTTAAGCCTTCAGTCTTACTTTGAAATTTTCCATTCTTGCTTTTTTGCCAGATGGAAAGGTTTTTTTTTTTTGAAAATTCAAGCAAAATCTTCTTAGCCATTTGAGTTCAAAGCAAGTGGGAAAGTGTTGTGTGTGTGGATTTTTTAACACACACACAAGAAATTTCTATTAGCCAAACATTTTAAATATAGAATCCTAGAAGATTGAACTGGCATTGCTCAGACCTTTAACTCAATTTTTAATTTTTGAAAAATAAACATGTACACGCTTCATTTAAATCATTGCTCTAAGGTGGAGCTGAGGATGAGGGGTTTAATATGCAGGCTTCCTAGGGAGAGAGGACTACCACAACCCTTTCTTACTCCAGTAGCTTGAAGCCAGAGGAGAAGCACCTCTCCATGGCCACTGCCGCTCCAGCAGGCACAGCCAGGGTGGCTCCATGTTCCCCACCTGGGACAGGTCCAGGTTCATCTACCCTCTGCATTTCCCAACCACAATAAGGAATTTAGCAAACTCTGCACTTTCCCCTCACTCCCTGATGAAGAGAAACAGCCAGCAATAGCCCAGTATGAATTGGATACAGCCCCTCCTGACCTCTCTAAATGGCACCTGGAGGTGGGAGGTTCGGGCAGTCACAGATGTGGGGTAGGCAGCCAACACCTTTCACCTGCCTGACGACTCTGTCTCTTTTCTGTTTGTCTTTATGAGAAAATGCCATTCCAGGCACATCCCATTTTCCTAGCACAACCAAACCCTTATCTTGACTTAGGTTATCATAAGAGGAAGCTGTATGATGAATTTGGTGGTCCTAGCTCTTACCATTTAGGAACAGTTCTTGAACAAACAGACAAACACAAACACAAAGACAGACTCAAATATATAACAGATTATATTCACTACAGAGCACACTAAAAAGTTGCTAACTTCATATTTAATGATGGTGGTGTAGTTTACACCCCCCAAATGCAGTTAATGCCCCAACCGGTACTGCACTCCTGCACTGCACCAGCCCTGGGTGGGCCTGAGGGCCTGGCCCGTAACCCTGCTACTCTAGCCCTGACTGGGGCTGCGGTCCTTGCCGGCAACCTGAGGGCCTGGCCCGTAACCCTGCTACTCTAGCCCTGGGGCTGCGGTCCTTGCCGGCAGTCCAGCCCAGGTTGTGCTTTTGAACCTGGAAATCCAGGGCTCTCTGGTCCAACAATATTCATAGTCCAGATGTTGCCAGACCAGACAGCCCTGGATTTTAGAGGTTCAGCCTGTATAGCTCTCTTCTCAGATCTAGTATAATCAGTGTTTAATTTCAGGAAAGTTTCACAGTGATGTTGTAGAAGTCCCCTGGAAGAAACTGTGACCTGAATAAACTGACATTCAAATGAATTTTACACTAGTAGCTCCAGATATAAGGTCAGGAAGTACCATACAACTTTCTCCTTTTATGCTGTACTTAACAAAAATCCTGAATCAGACAGTTATCCCCCAAGTCTCATTCCAGAGCAATAATCAGAAACAGAGATTTTACTGTAAAAACATGTCATGTTATTTCTTCCTCTGATGGGGGGACAGAGAGATGAGAGGAGAGAAGAAAAGAGAAGAGGCTTAACAGCAAAACACTGAAACAGCCTAAAAATGCTACTACATTAAAAAAGTGTCAATTCCACATTTGAGATACCAGCCCATACAAGGTTTTTCACCTATAAGCTATGTCTGCACTCGCGGCTTCTTGCGCGAGTAATATGCAAATGAGGCTAAGCGTGGAATATCACCCAGCCTCATTTGCATACCTAATGAGCTATATTGCTGAGCCTCATTTGCATATAGCTACTTTTTTTTTTTTTTTAGAAGAGGCTCTTGCGCAAGAAGGAGCGTCTACACTGCCCCTTCTTGCGCAAGAAAAACCCTCTTGTGCAATGCCGTTCTTCCTGAAAAGTAAGAGGTGTAACGGCATTGCGCAAGAGGGTTTTTCTTGCGTCTTGCGCAAGAAGGGGCAGTGTAGACATTCCTTCTTGCGCAAGAGCCTCTTCTGAAAAAAATGGTGGCTCATTAGGTATTCAAATGAGGCTCGGTGATATTCCACGCTTAGCCTCATTTGCATATTACTCACGCAAGAAGCCGCGAGTGTAGACATAGCCATATTGTTTAAGGTGAAACAATTGATACATGTTTGCAGCAAGTCAGAGGTTTGGGATTTTACAGTAAATACTAGTGGAGTAGATTAGCAGGCAGAGTAGAAGTGAGGCAGTCAGCAATGCATGCTAAATGCAATTTATCAAATAGCCGTGATCATCAGATACCTGTATATTCAGTCAGACACTCATTCCCTCCCACTTGCTGTTTCTTGAACATCTGATGTCTGTACACAGGTATAGCTCTCTGCCATCTGTATAGCCTGTGTGGAAGTAATTGCTAAACACGTATTTTGTTGTTGTTGTTACATTTAGGATTGCAGTGACATCAACGCATAAGGGAAGACAAAGTTGTGCCTTTCCTTGCACAAGGGAAAAAAATGAAAGACCGCCTTCAAGAGCTTAAACTACGAGCAAAAGAACTGCAGCTAGCTGAAGAGAACAGCTGTGCACCTGGGGTAAAGGAAGAAGACCAAATAGAGCTTGAACAGCAAGCTATTATTTATGAGAAAGAGCCCATAACTGAGAGTTACCTACATGAAATCCAGAGACTTCAGGATGAGATTAGTAATTTGGAAGAGGACGTTCAAAAGTTTGGTCAGCAGCAAAAAAGCCTTGTGTCTTCAATGAGAAGGTTCAGTGTTATTAAAAGAGAGTCCAACGTTACAAGAGAAATAAAAATTAAAGCAGAGCACATACATAAATGCTTGGATGAACTGTCAAAAACAGCGAAGAAGTCTGAAAGCGAACACGGGCCATCTTCCGCCATTGTAAGAATACTTACAACTCAGCATACATTCCTTTTCCAGCGTTTCCAAACCACCATGATTTCATACAACGATTCTATAACAGCCAAGCAGGAGAAATGCAAGACATTCATTGTGCGTCAGCTTGAAGTAGTTGGGAAAGAAGTCTCAGAGGAAGAAGTGAATGATATGCTTCAACAAGGAAAATGGGAGGTTTTTAATGAAAATCTGCTTACTGAAGTCAAAATCACTAAAGCTCAACTATCAGAGATTGAACAAAGACACAAAGAACTGATGAATCTAGAAAGCCATATCAAAGACTTAAAAGAATTTTTCATCCAGATCTCATTTCTGGTGGAGCAGCAAGGAGAAATAATTAACAACATTGAAATGGGTTTAAACAATACTCAAGATTACATTCAGATGTCAAAAGAGAAGTTTAGACTTGCAGCCAAGTACAAAAAGAAAAACCCTTGCAAAGCAATATGTTGCTGGTGTTGTCCATGCTGCTGATTAGAAAACAAAAACTGTTTCCTAGCTTTCATGACTGTTCTTTGACATGTGTTGGTCGTGTCCTTTCCAATAGGTATGCGTGCACTGTCTGCACAATTGGACAATTTTTCCCATCATGTTACCTGTCAGGTTGGCTGTGGAGCCCCCTGGTGTGGCACCTTTAAGGTGTGGTATACACTGCTGACATCCCACCCTCTCAGTTCCTTCTTGCCCTATTATTCCAGCAGAGGGGAGGTGGGTGGAATTTGGAATGGACAAGAGCAACAGTTATGGAAGGTAGGTAACTATTTTTCTTCAAGTGATTGCTCATGTGCATTCCAGCAGGTGACTCACCAGCAGTTTCTCCCAGAGGAGGGTCAGAATTCACCACATTGCCGAATGCAGAACCATCTGCCAAATGCCACATTGTCCAATGCCTGCTGAGGGATGGCATAGCATGACTTGAAGGTGTGGCTGTATGACCACATGGGTGCCCAACAGATGTCTTGGATAGGGACTTATATGAGAAATGCCACAAAGGAAGCTGCGCCCTTGTGGAATGTGCTGTCAGCGTTGGGGCTGTGAGTTTAGCTAGCAGGATGTGATCCAGGACAAGAGGGACTGAGCTGATATGAGGAGACCTTTAATCTTCTCCACTATTGCAATAAAGAGTTGTGCTGATTTACAAAAAGGTTTCCTACATTCACTGTAAAATGGCATGGCATGTCTAACGTCCAGCAAATGAAGGGCCTTTTCCCTATCAGATGTATGGGGTTTAGGGAAGAATACCAGCAAAAATATGTCCTAGTTCACATAAAAGTGGGACACCACTTTCGGCAAAAATGACAGGTGAGAGCATAATAGAACTCTGTCTTTGAAAAAGACAGTATAAGGTGGTTCTGAAATGAAAGCCTGGAGCCCCATCTGGCCGAGGTTATAAGCATCAGAAAGGCCTCCTTCCAGGAAAGATGCAACAAGGGGCAGGCAACCAGGGGCTTGAATGGGTTGACCCATGAACTTAGAAACAACTAGGTTCAGGTCCCAGAAAAGAATTGGGTCCTTGACCTGCAGGTACAACCTATCCAGGCTCTTTAGGTACCTTGCCACCATAGGGGTTCTGAAAATTGATGTATCCTCTTCATCTGGATGGAAGGTGGAGATGGCCACAAGGTGAACCAATAGATAAAATAGCTAGGCCCTGGTGCTTAATTGTTAAAAATAATCAAGTACCAGGGGGAATAGGGGCCCTGTTGTGGGAGGATGTCTTATTGAGCAGACCAGAGTGTAATCCATTTCCACTTGCCACATACGTACACTGCTTGAGTAGCTGGCTTATGGCGACCAGAGTGTAATCCATTTCCACTTGCCACATATGTACAGTGCTTGAGTAGATGGCTTATGGATATCCAGGAGCAACTCACATACTTAGTCCAAGCATTGCAGCTTGCGTTTGGTCAACCATGAAGCCACCATGCCACAAGTTGGAGAGACTCCAGGTTGGGGTGTTGAAGGTAGCCACAGTCCACCAACAGGGTCAGGAATGTGGTGAACCAGTGGTGCCTTGGCAAGACCAGCGCCACCATTATAAGAGACGGCCTGTTCTGATGAATTTTGAGCAGATCCCTATGTATGAGGGGCAAGGGTGGGAAGACATACAGCAGTCAACCTGACCAGGATAGGTGAAAAGCATCTGCTAGGGACCCTGGGCTGTGGTTTTGAAAGGAGCAGAATTAGGTGGCACTCGTGGTTGCTCCTGGTCACAAATAGGTGCACCTGGAGAGGACCTCACTTGCAGAAGATGGACAGGGTGACCCATTCGTGGATGCTGAATGAATGGCTGAGGTCTGCCAGGGCATCTGCAACCTGGGTAGGTATGAAGAGTGCAGGCAAATGTGATAGGCAATACAAAAATCCCACAAGGAAGAGGAGTGAGCACCACCCTGTTTATATAAAACATCGTTGCAGTATGGTCTCTTAATTCTGAGACATACTGGCCCTGCAGCTAGGGAAGGAACTTGGCAGGCCAGGAGCACCACCCACTGCATCCTAATATTGATGTCAAGAGAAAATTCTGTCTCAGATCACCTGCCCTGCATCTGGAGCATAGGCTGTGGTTGTTGAAAGAGCAAGCCTGTTTGCACCACTTGAGGCTGCAGTCACCAGAAGAGGGGAAAGGTGTCTGGGAAGGTTACTAGTCTATCAAGCAGCAGATGTAATTGCAGCCTGGCATGTAGCACCATGCAGATACAGGCCGCAAAAGTCTCATGCAGGTCCACACCATGGTAGTAAGGAACTGCTCAAGGAAGCATATTAGATGGGTGTGGGGGGGTATAAGATAACCCTGAAGTGACTCTCTAGCCAATAGACTGTCTCCATGATGGAGTCCAACAGAGCTCCAATGAACTCTATTCTTTGGGTTGGAACCATGGTCCACTTGGGTTCATTCAGAAGGCCTAGGTCTTCAAAGATAGTCCTGACCAGGGCCATATATGCCAGAACCTGTTCCTTGGACCTGCTCCTGATCTTATCCCAGATGTGGATAGACATGTATCCCTTACTTCCTGAGAAAGGATGCCATGACCACTATGCATTTTGTTAACAGGGAGCCATGGAAGTATCAAATGGTAGTGCCATAAACAGATAATGGCAGTCTTTGACCAGAAACAAGGAAATGTCCATAAGCTGGGATGACAAATGGAAGTATGTGTCCTTCAAATGGTCAAATATTGGCAGCTATGGAAACCACGAGAAACTCGAGCCTCCTGATAAAGGTGTTTAGGTTCTGTCCGAGACAGAATGGGTCTAAGTGCACCCATGACCTCGGGGATCAAGAAATATTGGGAGTAGAACCCCTTGTCCCTGTATCAGAGGGGTAGCCGTGTTAGTCTGAATCTGCAAAAGCGACGAGGAGTCCTGTGGCACCTTATAGACTAACTGAAGTGTAGGAGCATAAGCTTTCGTGGGCAAAGACCCACTTCGTCAGATGCATCTGACGAAGTGGGTCTTTGCCCACGAAAGCTTATGCTCCTACACTTCAGTTAGTCTATAAGGTGCCACAGGACTCCTCGTCGCCTTGTCCCTGAACTCTCTGGGGACCTCCTCTCATTATGCAGAGCAATGAGTGCACGCACCTCCAGCATGAAAAGTTACTTGTGAAAAGAATCCTTAAAGAAGGACAAGGAAGGGGATAGGAGGCAGGAGGGGATGGAATTGGATACAGTATACTGCTCCACTGTGCTCAGGATCCAGCAGTCTGAGGTAATCTAGGCACAGGCATAGCAGAAGCAGGACAAGTAGTTGCCAAAAGGAAAAAAATCCGGTTTGGGAACTTGTGCTCCATCCTCAGGCACACCCTAAAATGTTGTTTTTTGAGGCTAGGGATTACTCAGAACCTTCCAGACTGATTCTGGCATCTGCACCTGGACAAGTCCTTCATAGGTTGACCAGATCAGAGGTTGGCAGGAATATGTGGTCTAAAGAACTTGCTCTGGGGTGCAGGGATATGAATCCCCAGAGATATGAATGTCATGCTAGAGTCTTTCAAGCTGTACAAATGAGAATCTATATTCTCTGCAAAGAGCCAGGAGCAGTCAAAGGGGAGATCATTCAAAAGTAGTCTGGACCTCCGGAGAAACTCCCAACACTTGCAGCCATAAGCCCCTCCTCATACTGACAGCAATGACCAAAGTACGGGTATCCACGTCTGCTGAGTCCAATGACCCCTGAAGGGACATCCTGGCAACCAGCTTGCTCTCCTCAATCAGTGCAGTGAACTCCTAAAGGAGTTAACAAGAAGGAACTCCTAGATATTTGCAAGAGACCCTCAGGACTTTATATGAGTAGAGGCTCAATAGCACATGCTGGTAGGCCACCCGCAGTAGTAATGTCCCTGTAGAACAGACCAGGTACCCAAAAAAGACCTAACTTCTTCACATCCTTTGATTTGGACACCAGTCCAAGCTTGTGGTTTCCAGCATCCACCACAGGAATCCCCATCTGCGGGTGCTTGAAAAGGTTCTCTTATCCCTTATGGGGGAACAAGTAATACCACAGAGGGGTATGGATGCCAGGGTTTGCCACAACACCTTAGTGTGGGTTTGTATCAGTCTGACGAATGGAAGGAGCAACTCTGGAAAGGCCCTCCAGGATGAGGATGTCCATCATAGGCTCTGCGTTTTTGTTATTCTTCTGCCTGCAGCCCAAGGTTCTGAGCCACCTCTCCCAAGAGGTCCTGGTGGCCCCTTATATCCAAGGCAGGGAATATGGTGGTCAAGGTTCCAGCCACAGCCTCATCCGGGGATGAGGTGGCCTGTAAGGTAGGGACTTCCTGGGCCTCCATCTGGAGAACTGGAGAGTCCGGCTCCACCCAACTCAGACTTTTGGTGATGAAGTCATTGCCGGCATACTGTGCAAACCATGGGGAGAGCCTTGGAGCTAGGCTTTGCATCCCCAAAAGGGACCCCGGCACAACTCTTGGCACCACACGAACAGGTGCATACTCTTGGTCACCTAGGGTATGTCTACACTGCAATGTTAATTCGAACTAACTTAGTTCGAATTAGTTAATTCCAACTAAGCTAATTCGAACTAACGGATCCAGACTAAAAAACTAGTTCGAATTAGCGTTTTGCTAATTCGAACTAGCATGTCCACACAGAGTGGACCCTGAACCGGGGTTAAGGATGGCCGGAAGCAGTGCCGGCAGGGCATCAGAGGAGGACTTAGAGCGTGGAGCTGCTGTCTCAGGCTAGCCGAGGGCTGTGCTTAAAGGGTCCCGACCCTCACCCCGGACAGACAGTTCTCAGGGGTGCCCCGCTTGCAAAGCAGTCCTGGCTTGGATTGCCCGGAGTACCCACACTGGGCACATCACAGCACTCGGCCATCAGAACGGCTGCACTTGCCGCAGGCTGCCATCTGGGGAAAGGGGGCAATTGGGGGGCTGCAGGAGAGCTTCCACCCCCAGAAACCCGCAGAGCCAGCCCAGTCCTCCCCATCGGGGGCTCGTGCCCCATTCCTCCCTCCCCTCCTTCCACTTACCCTTCCCTAGCCCCTCTTCTTGATGTACAAAATAAAGATAACGTGTCTTCCAACATTGAATCTGTCTTTATTGAACAAAACTGGGGGAGACTGGAGGTGGGAGAGGGGATGGGAGAGGGGAAGAGAGAGGCTGGGAGAGGGGAGGGCAACTAAAATGATCAGGGGTTGGGAACAGGTCCCATATGAAGAGAGGCTAAAGAGACTGGGACTTTTCAGCTTAGAAAAGAGGAGACGGAGGGGGGACAGGATAGAGGTCTCTAAAAGCAGGAGTTGGGTGGAGAGGGTACATACAGAAAAGTTCTTCATTAGTTCCCATAGAGAAGGACTAGAGGACACCAAAGGAAAGGAATGGGTAGCAGGCTTCAAACTAGTAACAGAAAGTTGTTCTTCACAAAGCAAAGAGTCAACCTGTGGAACTCCTTGCTGCAGGAGGCTGTGAAGGCTACAACTAGAACAGAGTTGAAAGGGAAGTGAGATCAAGTCATGGAGG